TTAATAGTTTAAAAAGTATTCACGTAAACATTTGAATTGAAAGATGATCTGTTGTTATCAATTTTTTATATAAAAATTATAAAAAAAAATTATCTAAATGAAAACCATTAACCTTATTTAATTTTTTATATATAACTTATTTATATATAAATCTAGTAATATATTTTAATAATTGAAACTTTTTATATCAAGTTATGTGTATAAACTTGGCTAATAATCGATAAAAGGGGAAAAAATATGAACAATCATTAGTACGTGAACTAGTGGAGCACATCTAGGCCAATGAATCATGTAGCGTTTTGGCGGCCAAGAAACAATCATAAATATTTTATTCTCTTGCCAACGCTCAATGGTTTATTCGAATTCAAACGGACCGTTGCAATAAAAAGGTTAAACGAGCGTTTATTTTAAATTATTGTGTAATCGAGCTTTGAGTTAAACTGTCCGGAAAGTATAAGACAATTTCTCGCTCACGTTCGTCCATTCACCTCCATGCCATACTACACCAGGTCGTACAATAACAATTATCATTTTTTTAGACAATTTTTATATATTTTGTAACCTATATCAAATGACTACAAGAAGTCAAAACCACTTAACTATCAAAAAAATATCACAAAAATCTTAAGAAAAAAACCTACTGAAGTGACGTTTATTATGATCGAAAATCTACGAGAAGAATAAAAAAAAGATGTGATTTTAACGTTTTGTATTTTAGCTCATGACATTTTTACTGTCATAGTTTTAAACATCAAATGGATGATATCAATGAAATTATACGCGTTTTTTCAATATACATTTGTAGATATATAGTGAGCTTTAATAATAATAAGACACGTGTTATTGTGTTTAAATTTATACATAAATATAGACATATCATGGAGTTCTCTTAAAATAAATTATTAATATTAAGAAATATTAAAATTGTATTTAAAATTTAATGCCTTGAAAAAATAACTGTTGTTTTTGAAATTTTTTTAACAGCAGTCTATGAAATCATTTTATATTAAACGTACTTTTTTTTTTGTAGTATTACAGTTTAAAATGTATCCAGTACAGTTAGACGCATTGTTAATTTGAATAAAATTATTCTTAATTACAAATATTTAATCCTTTTTAAATTTCCCTAGGTTTTCGTGAAGTACTGATGCGATGACTTAATTTGATATAGTAAACCAGAAATAACGTTGGTTGACAATAATTTATGCAGACAAGCAGACGACAGGTTCGTCTCGACATAAACACAAAGTCCATTAACAAAATGCCCAATACCTATCTGGTGAAGTGTACAATATTGTTTGAAGTAAAAGCTTTAACTTCGTGACAATATAATGGAAAACATTTGCCGTTGAATTAACAACAACTTGGGAAACACATTTTAAACTCTAAAATAAAGATGTGTTATTATAAGAAAAAAGTTATTTACAGTTTCATTTTTAGAGGAAATTAATTATTTGGATAATTTTTTACTAATATTTTTTACATCCAACATATTTATCATTAATATTTTAACTTTTTTTTTTAGACAATTTTAATGGCTGACGATTTTTTGTCAATAATATCAATAATAATAATAATGCAGTTTTTACTTATAATTATAAACTAGATTTAAAGTAATAAAAATTTAGATCATATGCATATTAACCAAAATGTATGGTTTAATATTAGACATGATATTTTATTTATAACGTCACTTATATTATCACAAAAAAGCCAAAACTATAACTAATGGTAGTGGCGTAGTTAAAGGGGTACTAGAGGAACTGTACCCATCCCTATCCCATAATTAGTTGATTATTACTATAAACAGTGTATGACTGCTTAAGTCATACTAGCGCCAAGCTAGTAAGAGTATGTGATAAGCAAAAGTCCTCAGCCTCCTCCAAGCAAAAATCCTTTTAAAGTAATTGGTTAAAGAATAAAAACTTACTTTCAGTATGCTCAATTTCCTTGATCCATTTTCTAATAACCTTGTTTGGTTTGAGAAACAATTACATCTAAGGATTCTATCAATGATGTAGTATTATGAAAGGAACACATCCAATATTGACCAAGTTAACAATTTATAATTTTATAGCTAAATTTATTGTAAATTAAAAGTAAAAAAAAGAAGCATATAAAATCATAACTTATCTTGATTCAATGATGGTAATCTAAAGAAAATACTAGTGACTTAGATAAAATTCAGTATTTAGCTTGAAATTTTATATAATGACTTAACGTTAATTTGTTTTTCATTTTTCATTAACACAAAAAGTTATGGAACTGTTGACAAGTAAATCATACGTTATCATGTATTTTTACATAGTAAATTAATAGTTTGAAGTGAAAATAGTTGAAGATATTTATAAAAAAAAAAATACTATAAAATTATATGCTTTTATATGGAGAAAATTGAGAATACTTCATAATTTGAAGTATTCAACAAGTAATAACTTTCCACAAGAGCTGTTATTAATATTATTAGAGCTGTAGGTAAATTACATTTGATTGTATTCTGTTTGTTCTATCATATTGAAAATTTACATGTTATATCAGTAATAATAATAATGTGTAATCAGTTATACATATAGTACTTTACAATGCATTGGAATGTGTACAATTGGTATATTACATTCATAAATGTATATGAATTCATACCATATTATATCGACACTTTGGTATTTTAGTGAGATTAAAATAAATCTTTCACTGATTGACTGAAAGGGCATATATTTTAATGAAATAATTCAAAATTCACTAATAAAAAATCAATATATTATATTTATGTATACTACTAGTTTGACAATTTCTATATAATTCGATTTTAGTTTAGGACTTATTTATTGAACAATTTTTTAATGTAATAATAACTAAGGGATATTTTAAATTAATACAAGTTAAACTTGAACATTTTTTAAATATTCATCATAGAAGCATTTTGTGAAATTCTTATAAATTTTTATTTTCATAAGTAGTAAAATTAAACACAATTAAAAGAAATTATCTTTTGTCTTGTCTCATTTTGAAACTTGAAATTTTCAAATGAAATATATGAGAACAAATTTAATTAGTATTGCCCATTATAAAGTTTAATTATAACTCAAACAAACTTTAAATACACTGAAATGCAAATTAATTCGTCATTTATAGTTGTGACTTTACATATCGAAGAATTTGATTGCATAGCTATCGAATGAGTTCATTATGTTAAATTTGTGCACATTGTATTGCATCACGATCTCCTAAGTGAATAGAATTTAGGATTGTTTCTCAAAATGGCAACATAACAACATTATTATGTAAATAGGTAAACAATGGGTCTAAATTTCTTTATTTTATAAAACTATAGAGACCATTATGCAACTATTTAAAAAAATGTTATGTATGTTAAATTAAAAAGTGATTACTTAAAGTAATAAATAATAAGAGTGTCGAATTTAAGTTTTTTTCTTAATTTGAGTATAATGTTTACATTAAAATTCATAATTTTTATAAGTTTATGATTTTATATCATATTGTATATTTCAATGCAAATCTGCTGATTTAAAATATACAACATGTATAATTTTACAATTGCATATAATTATCTGTCAAAAAATTAAATAGTTACAAAGTTTTCAGTTAAAAAAATATCTTTTAACTTTTGATCTATTGTCTTTCAAACTTTTGTCCTAATCAACATTTTTTTCTTTTAATTCTGTTTCAAAAATTAAAGACTTTTAAAATTGTTTTATAAACTTAAAATAGTATTCTTAAAGAGTGAAATATAACATAAAAATCTAAATTTTCAATTTTATTTCGATGATTTTGTAACTATTTAAAAAACACATAAAAAGGGTCTATAGTTTGGTATTCATTAACCATTGTTTTATAACTAAAAAAAATTAATTATTTATTTCAATATTGAATTCTTAACTTGTGTGAACTTTTAACAAGTGTACCCTAAATCATTTTTTAGTTTTGAAGTTGGTTAATAACATTTGTTTCCATTTCAAAAACCAAATCTAATACTTATTTAAAGAGGAGAGAAATAGGATCAAATGGTTTTCTGGAAAATAAAGAACGCAAGGTACTATTAACTTCTAAAAAGAATAAATTATTTTATATTTTTTAAATATTGCGTGAGTCATAATCAAATATTTTATAAAGATTGTTATAAGTGGAAAACTAATAGTCTTACTTATAATTTGTTACAACTTGAATATAATACATCAAAGATGTATACATTTACCTATTGAATTTACAAATTATTATTTTTTTATTAATACTTCAATAAATACTAATTATTTCGTTTCTTTAAACTCAATAAAAGTGTTGACATTTTTTATTGGAATAAATAAATAAAAACCTTTTCATATTTTAATGAAAGGAGTTATAAATATATGACAGTTTTATTTTTGTTACGCTCAATAGTTTAAAAATATTTATAAAATATTCGGAGAAATGTTTTCATATAGTAGTACCTTCTTTTATCTATTTTTTTTTTTTTAAGAAACTTTGAACATGGGTTATCTTAAGTTGACAAAAGTAAATCTTATATTCGGAGAAAAAATATTTAATTAACACACCAATTTGTGTATAGTTCTTAGAAATAGCGTGTTTTTCACGAATGAAGAATATTCAAAAAATCTAAAAATAATTGAAAATTCTACCTTAGTAAAAAAAATAAATACAACTGCTCTATTTGGTATAACTTACCTGTTCTGAATGTATATACAGAATAATTGTTTTCCTATATTGACACAATATTTTTAAAAGAATAAAACGAAATATAATTTCATTTTTTTGGATATAATAGTATCAAACGTTCTATAATTTGTAGAAAACAATTTGATCATATCCCTCCCTTTCTCCCCTTTAAAATAGTATTTTATTTAGTTTTTTTAAGTGGAAACATATATGTTAAACCAACTTATTTAAGTAGACATAAAAAACAAAATTTAATAATCGTAAAGTAAATATAATGTTTCATTATAAAAGCGCATTCTTACATTAAACACACGACTATTTTATTTGATCATTAAGTTAAATGTAAGTTATGAGGAAATGCTTATGTTATTTTTTTAACAATAATTTGTCACATATTTTGGATAACTATTTAATTCCAAATCGGACATGTAATTTCATAGCATAAATAATTTTAGTATTCAATGATTATTTAAAACTATTTGATGCGTTTTGTAGGTAATCTGTGACCCAAATTGGCAGATCCACATTTTTTCAGAACACAGGCATGTTTACTAATATTATTTGTATACCAGAGGTAAATTATTACACATTTTCCTTTTTAAACTTGATAATGTTATCCTTTGGAGATCAATTATTATTTAAAATGGTCATCACATACAACGTAATAGTATTGAATTTATTTATAATTAAGTTTCACTATACTTGGAAAAAATCTCTTCTGGATAGATTATGGGATAAAGTTGTGTTTTCTAGTTAGATTAGCGTGGAAAAAGTTTTCCCCTTTTTTCTTTATCGTATTATTAATAATAATAATAACAATAAATTTATTATTATAAATCAAGTAACACCCAAAGGGGTAAGGTTACAGCATAAAAAAAAATAATTTATAATACAATACTAGAACACTTAAAACTAAAGGAAGTTGACAATATATCTATTTAAAATTAAACATACAAGTTTTTAAAGATGTATAAAAATTAAAAAAAAAATCATTTCTGTGATTATATATTTTGGGTAATAAATTCTTTATAATTTTTAAAATTACAATTACAACTATATCAAAAATAATTTTCGATAACATTTAAATATGTTTATAAGACATTTTATTCCTAGTCATTTAGTTTAGAAATTTGAATAGTTGTTAGCATAAAATTATTACACTAGACACTAATTATAATTATAACTATCGTTTTAAAAATATTAATGTGATGTATTAAAAAAAATCGGCCGGTTAATTACGATTTTTAAAGACCTTTCATAATATTATAAATATAATCGCCATAACGTATATTTATCACGCCATCCATTCGTGTCAGCCAACAATTCATCATCGGTATCCGTGTAACTTATGTGTACATTTTAAATATTTTATGTAATTATTATATTTATTATTATTAAAGTCGGCGACCGTCTTTGCAAAACTTGCCTATCAAAAAGGTTGCAGCTATAAGTTACTGAATACATTTCAACAGTAATACATACCTACTCGATGGCCGATGCGTGAATCATGTAACGACAACAATATAACAGTATGTTACAAGGTTGCCAAAGTTTTTGCCATTATAATAATAATTACTTTAACTGTAATTATTATGAAACGTTATTATGTTTTATGATTACACTGAATTTACATGATACACATGTCGGTCATTTTTACCTGCTTGTGTAATTAAAGGTTGTCGTGTTAAAAATAATTTTCTGTTAATCGTTTAACCTTATTAATGATGAATATCACTTTTTCAATGAATACATTATATCGCTATTATAAAAAATTATATGTGTAATAAAACAGAAGAATATAAAACTGACATTATAAATATTTAATGAATATATTTATATAAATATGTATTGTTAATATTATTAAATGCAAATTTAGCACAATTCCTGTTAATTGATAAAATTTTTATGCTACTTGTTCCATTTTTAATTTTTTAGCACATGTTTATTACAATAAATTTTAATAATTATTGTGTGTAATAAATATTTTTCATAATATTGTAAATTTATCTCGGCATAAAAGAATCAGAGATTGTTCTTGGTAATAGTTTTTGAGTAGTATAAATAAACAGCTACAAGAATAATGCAAGTGTTTAAAGATGACAAGTTATTGGATTTTCACAATTTTACTATTATAATGAAATTATGATTTTTCATTGTGAAAGATTTCGCATTACCGTGAATTATTATCTTGTAATTTCTAATAAGTACATACTATAAAATTTCATTATAATCGATTGAATTCTGAAAATAAAGTATATTTTATATGGCGTCTACTTAAGTTTTATTCGCCGAACCAGTTAGTTAATAAACATTTTGCGCGGATAATAACAGTTTATATTTGATATTATCTCCGTATTATTGATTCAGATCAATTCATATAAAATACATAGATCGTAAACAACCTTGATGTTTATATCATTTTTATTACGATTTTTATTAAGATACGTGAAAGATGGTAATATCCGCGAAGGTAGAAAATTACATATATCTTGGAAATTTCTATCGCACTGTATTATTTAAAATTCCTTTCCTATTCTTTGAAGGGCTATTTACTTATTTTACACCACAAATGTTTTAACACACAAATCGTTTATACGCTTGGTATGAACAAATTATGTACAAGATCATCATAGTCACATTAAATCAATTTTTTTAGCAGTTTATGATATTATAATATTATAATATTTTTAGCAGTTTCACGATTAAAATCTACTGCGTTGGCTACAAGCATTGAGCACCTGTTATAATAGTTTTCTTTATTGGCATTACAATTTGATATATATATCATTATGTTATTTTTTTATTGTTATCGAAAAGTATGGAAGAGTAAATAAAAATTCGTTTAAAATTTTAACTCTGAGTACTCACTGATTCAAACAAACCGGATTTACATGAGGTATTTTGCACAATTTAGTATTATGTTTGTAAACTAATTATCAATTCTAAACTTAGTGTTTTAAACCTAAAATTTAATATCTGAAATTAAATAAGTCGTTCGAAATCAAAATTAATTTGACAAATTCTTCCAACTAGCAATGCACCTGAATAAGTAATGAACAAAACTGAAAGCAGATAGTTTAATTTCATTATTTGGCTCAAAAACATAAAATGATCGATGATCAATTACATTCATCGACAATACACCTACGTATTAACTTAATTATAAATTTAAGTACATAAACATTTTATTTAGAGAATATATCTTTTGAAGTTATTTTTGTAAAATTAGTGAATGGAAATTAATTTTGTCTTCAATTTTAGATAAACTACGTTAATCAAACGACAAAAGACATTTATAGATTCTATATGGTAAATGATTGGGAAATTCACACGGTACACACAACAATACCAAACTTTTTTGAACCATCAAAATTGTATAAACTAAACAGAGGCTACTGATAAATTAAAGTGTTCATCGTATTAGCCGTACATTAATATATATATTTCAATCAAAACCATTTTAAATGAAGTCAAAACCATTGAAAAGAAATTTCACGACTATTTATGAAGAGAGCGTTATCTCATACATCCTACTGACGAACTTGCTTTATTGAAAGTCAAAAAACAAGTATTTATTTTAACTAAGTGATGTAAAGCCGTAAGTGTGTCTGAAATAAAACTCTTCTGTGAAATTTCATTGGACATTCTTGTAAAAAATTTGTTAGTTGATTTATCTTTTTACAAAACAGTGAGTCCAAAATATTTGTATACACTATATTATTAACACGATTCGCGACTGCATCCAGTTTTAGATATTATCTAAAATAAAATGTATTGAATGCATAGGACAATATTTTGTTGTCACATTTTATTTAAAACAATATAATTTCATACTTATTGTTTTGAGCCTTGTAAGTAGTAAGTAAACATATTCCTTTTTCTCAGCTAATTTCAAACTATAAATACTAATATCTGATAAAGTAATTTTAACAAAACTGGACATTGACAAAAAAATATTTATCAGGTTACACTGTAAAATTAATAAAAATGTCATGTTTAATGAATAATGGAATAATATGTAGTTGTAAAATCTTAAATTAGTAGGATGTTGAGAATTTTGCTTTTGTTTGTAGAAAGTGTTACGTACGATATTATTATTCAATCCATTTCATGAATCATTTCTTGTAAGTTTTTTTATTTTTTTCATTAATAACACATTTTCCATGTCCTAGAAATTGATTCAAGGCTATTGTAAAGTATTTAAAGATTGAGTAATATTGTTGATCTTATAAACACGGCTAAAGTAAACATTTTCTAAGAATAACGAAGAATTATTTCGTGATTTTCATTGTTTTATTTTTTTTTAAATATAGAAAGCGACTAAAAAAAAATAAATGTTATCAAAATATGACATAGTTTAACACAGTTTTAAAATAATTAAATCAAATGGAATTGATGAAATTTATAAATGCACAAATCTTATATGATCTTATATATCTTATATGATGAAGCAAATATCGTAAAAACAGTAATATAATTAGTAATACAAGATTACTGTTCAAGTTGTCTCGTTGAAAAAATGTCCCATTTAAAGTGAACAAGACGAATAAAATGAGTGGACCAAGAGTACAAATTTAATAAAACTTAAATCTTTTTCAGCTGTAGATTTTCGTTAAATAAGATTCCAATGTTATTGGTTTAAAGGATAATGTTTATATTTTATAAAGCTAAGCGCTCTTATTATAAGTTTACCAGAGCGATTGTATGAAATTTTGGTGCTTTCTTAAACGTCTAACACTTTTGAAACCTACTCGAGTAGTCGGAAAATAGCTATTTGTTCGGACGATTACAAAACCATTCCACGTGCGACACGTCTTTGTTTGATGATAACATCGCTCATATAGTTTTGTGTGCGTTTTGCTTCACTGATAGAAAACGCAGTTATCATCTTCTGTAACGCTAGCCGTATACAATATATGATACAAAATACTCAAATCACGAACAAGTTTCAATTCAAAAACGGGGAAAAAAATCAAAAGTTAAAAAAGTAAATGTTGGATACGTTTTTTGGTCAGAAACTTATTGTCAACGATTCGTTTGAATGCGTGAAATGGATACTCCGGGCAAATAAATCTAATATTGGAACAAATAAAATCGTGACGGGTGACACGTGCAATCATTTGTCATAGTATCCGTCTATAAAGTAAACGTGAGAATCTAAATTCACTATAATAATATTATAGAATCGGAGAATTCGTGTGAAAAGAATATCGACGTGCGTAATGCGTGACAAGTATCAGAAAGTTGACGACTTATTGAAAATTTAAAAAGCCAATACAAAAAATAAGGTTGTGTCCGGAAAATTAATTAAACTGTATACGCACGAGTGAAACTTTGTTAAAGCTTAGAACTAAACCTCTGTTTTCTAGAATTGTTTACTCTGTATTTTGTTCAATGTGGCATATTATACCCAGCATTTCAAAACGGCTGAAATGTGCGACTTAATATTTTTTATGTGTTTCTAAAAACTCACTAATACAATAAATACTAACACTGTAAAGGTCTATTTAAATAACGCATCTTAAAAGTAAATACTTGTTTTGCACTACCTCTAAAATAATCAACCTCATAAGTTTCACAGAAATTTAATGATTGTTTGATATTAAAATTATATCAACAATCATACAAATATTAATTTCTATGGTTTACTTGATAACTTACCACTTGATTTACCTGCTAAATTATTTTAAATAATAAATTTGTTTATATTCATAATTTTATTTAATTCCTCCATTAAATTAACTTTAAATATATTTAACGGTTGCTCAATTCTAATCGCTAATCAATGTCCCGTTTGCAATTGTATGTGTTTTTTTTATACATTGTAATATTTTTAACTGTTGAAAAAGACTGTTACGTACATTTTTTTGTCTGCTTGAAATAAAAATTATTGAACGGTACATGATATTTTATAAATTTGATTACTACGTTATTTGAAAAGTTGTTAATTTAGAACCTGTACTTTTAAAATAACTATACAAGTTAACCTACCTTCTCTAGAAGATAATTTTTAAATGTGAACCATTAAATAACTGAATTACTTTTAACTTAGTAGGAAATATTGACACAACTATATATTATTGTTTATTATCATTTATTTATTTATTTATTTTATAATTTCACGGGCAGAGGCTCTTTTACAAATAATACAAGTACATAAATGAGGTAATCGTAACATAGACAAAGATATATACTAAAAATATGTAAATTAATTATTATGTGCAAAGATAGAAATACAAAATTAAAATGAAAAATTAGGGTCAACATTGGCATTAGACATAAGACGCCTAAGTGGCTCATTTTTTGCATAATTAATTAGGTAATGGGAGACAACAAATGTAGCATTATTTCTTGTTGCACGCTGAGGTACTCTAAAACATATGAGAAACAATAGGCGCGGCGAATCAATATTGTCATTCAATAAACCAATTAGGAAATTAATTTCAGTATTGCGTCTACGCTCAACTAATGAGGATAGACCAAGTAAATTCGAGTCAGGGGCATAATCGTGATTAGGACAGTCTAAGTTGAGCGAGTAGCTGACAAAGCGTAGGAACTTTCACTGAACTTGCTCAACGTATTTATGTACTGACTGTAAGTTTACAGAAATGCTAAATAAAAAAATTATTAGATTTAAGTATATTTCTTGGCTAATTGTTAAAAATACCATTCAATTTTTACAAATAATTTATCATTTGTAAAAATAATATATGTTTAAAATAATCATATTAAATGTATGTACATACGAAAAATTATCTTTAAGGTTATAATATCTTTTTTTTTTTTTTTTTACATACAGTATAATTAAAAAATGTTTAATTATTTAAGGACGTGATTTTCTATATAAAAATTTTTTTTATTTAACTTTTCTTGAATATTAATGAACTACTTTCTATAACAATAGTCACATATTAATTTGATTCGTGTATCAATGAACTTATTGCGTTTTAAACATTATCTAAATATAAAACATTTCATCTTGGAGAAGTAAAAAAAATAGCTCGAATAAAGAATTATTTGAAAATAGTTAAATTAAAACCATTGACTTGTAATGATGCACTTATATAAGATAGCGATTTTAAAAATGTAAACATATGACATGCGTCCACATCATATAAACACCATCGGCTGAAACTTTTCGGTTCGTTCACGATGTCTACACTGATTTAGTATTATCATGGATAACAAATGATAAGTTGTGAATAGGGTTGCATATAAGCACACCATACATTGCTAGGGACCCGTAGCGATTCGTGAGCTCTAATTGGCTCTCTGTTACATGTGATAACATATTCGTTATCATAACATATTCAAATTTTGTCTTTTTCTATGATTTTGTCTAACTTTTGTATTCGTTGTAATTTGTTTCATTTATTCACTTAAAATGTCGTATCAAAGATATATATTAATAAGGTAATTGAAGATAATGGGATCAATATTAGCTTAAGATCAAATTTATCATCTATGGATGATATCAATAAATGGGTTACAGAATTTGGGAAACTAAATTATACCCAGTGGAATACTTGTTGTTCTAGTGTTCCAAACGGCAAAAAAATAGTCTGCTCGTAAGAAACAAAACAATTTTGAAGTAGAGATCTATGTTTTTTTGTAAATCATTCTCTTGTGGAATAAATAAGAATAATTTTTTTTTAACAATAAAAAGTTAATTTTGTAGTTTTTCCACCTCCTGTCTTAAATATTATACTCTGATGATTTAAATAGTAACTGTCTTAACTGTTTACCTACCAGCTTTAAATTTTTATTGTTTAAAGAGAAAATGAGAGACTTATCTTTAAGGGGGTATTCTAGTCTAGAAATTTAAAATAATCGATTTTTTTTATATATTTTCAAAGTTTGACTATTCAAGAATATGTCATTTTGGCAGATTGGATAAATGTAAGTCTAAAATATCATTTCATAACTTTGACTACGAAAAACTTTAGGCGAAATTTTAAACGCGTTTTTCTCAAAACTGTCTTTTTTAAAACGATACCCACGATTACTAAGGTTCTATTGAACCGATTTACCTGAAATTTTTAAAGTCTTCTTTATAGACTTGCTTATGTCTGGAACTATTTCCATCAACAAATTTCAATTTTTACAAAAATACAACGCAAATTGTTCAAAAAATCGATTTGTTATGTTTTATTTAAAAAAGATGAATATATATATATATATATATTAAACAGCTAACTATCATATCAGTCTTATTTTAGAAACTATTCAATTTAAGGTGAAAGTAGAAGTATAATCCTCTGTATCACGGTTGGTAACGAGTAGTTACGAACAACGTTGCAAAAGATTAAGGAGACTTTTACAAAAGGACAGTTATCTTGATCGCGGAGGTTATGATCACCGTTGAAGATGAACTGTATTATGTAAGTGGTGGAATCTAACCCTTTGGATCACGGTTGGTAAAGCGTTTATTACAAGCACCGTTGCAAAGGATTAAAAAGGAATACTTAGGAAAAGCTAGTAATCTTGATCACGGTTGATAACACGATGGTTATGATCACCGTTAAAGATTGTACTAACTTATAAGAAAAGAATTTTAAAATATATAATTTTGATGATGGTTGGTAATGCGTAGCACGAACACTGTTGAAAATTATATATATCAAGTATTATGATATAAGGGAAAATAATGAAATTCATTTAATGGAACGGTGAATGTATGAAAACTAGTCGGCAGTTAATATTACAGTCACTAGTAAAACTCGGATATTGATTAGCATATAGAAAAAAAACCTAATAGAAGAATTATTAGATTTATTAGGATAATTATAGAAGTTGTGACGGTGTACTTTATACTGCCCGTCACCACCTGAGTAGTGTAGAACGATCGCCCACTGATAATTTATTTTTTAATACCCTCCTATTAATAAATGCGTATTCTAATTTCCTATTTCATTTTCGAGTTCCCGTTAAGACTGATAATGTTACATAAAATAATTTACCAACATTACGATAAATATAATAAAAAATAAAAAAAATACATTAATTTATATTCTTTTGAATAAAAGTTGTCAAACAGCGCTGTCCAGCGGACTTTCTTGCAACTGACAAAGAGTACTAAAGCTGTAGCGTAACGCTACACCCCCCATTTCATTAACTGTTAATTTTTAAAATTTTTACCTTTTTTTACTTTTTGATTTTTTTCTGTATTCTTGTAATGTTAATAAAAAACTAATAAATAAATGGACGGTAAAAATATTAATTGTCTTTTTTTTATGACATTTCAAAAATTACGTGAAATTCGTGCCTCTAGACTAGAATACCCCCTTAATGAATTGTTGCACCTAAATTCAACACTGATATACTTTTAGCAAAAACTTTGTTTGTCAACATAGTGCTTTTCAAAAACCTGACTGCACTAATAACAAAAAAGATATATCAAAAAATGCTGATTGTCCTGCCTGAATAAATGTGTCAATTAAACTTAATACTGCTTCCACTAGAAAAAAAGATTCATTAATAAAAGTAATTATATCTTCCTTTTTCTTCACATTTTATAAGTCATGTATCTATACTTTATTGACTTTTCTAGTGCATACATAGCTATTAAGCTACCTGATCTTAAAGAATGCATTTTATATTCACCTCAATCAGGTGACCTAATGCAAAGTTCTTGCAAATAAAGTATTTGTATAAAATAAAAGGATTGGGCATAATTATATTTTACAGTGATTAAAATCACTATCACGTTTTTAAACTTACAGTATACAACTTAAGCTTCAATTTGAAATATATTCAATGCTTGAATTATTTCCAGAACGTTTTCAAAAATTAAATTGAAAAAATAAACTTTTTTTTTTAAAAAGTAGCTTCTTATAATCCCCACGTGGGCATGTAAAGAGTCAGTTTTAAAAAAAATATATAATTAACAAAAGCTAAATACATAACGTTATTATAAATAAAAAAATTATTTTGATTTAAAAAAAGCTCAATTTAGAAAACAAAATTTCCAAATTAATAGTTAAAAAACGTATTGGTAATTATGGGATAGAGTATCGCATAAAAAAAAAACTATGAAAGTTTCAAGTCTTAAATATAAATACTGTTGTATATTACTGTGTAATAAGGATATTTTTACGAATTACAAGTATTTCATAATTTAAAATTTTTGATAAGGCATAAATAAATTTTCGTAAAACTTTTTTAATTTTTTCTTCTTATAATAGACAACTTGTGTGTAAAATTTCAAAAAAAAATAAAGTGGTCGCGCGACGACTTTGGATGATTTGATATGGATTTACCCCATTGTTAATTCAGGAGAAACTAACAATCATTTTTTTTAGAAATGATTTATATAGCAACATGTTACCAACAAATTTGGAATATTATAGTCTAGTAGTAGCACACACAAATAGAGTAAAACAATTATTAAATTACAAAGTAGAATGATTTAATTTTGTATTTGAAACATATCATATCAAACTTGATTCGTCAATAAATATTTTGAAAACATTAGAAATTAATGATTTTAATTGTCTCTATGGAGAACATGAGATAAGTAACTGTTTCACTGATAAGTTAGAATTTTTTTTCAATTTTTGAGGGTAATATCTTCAACTAGGTACAAATTGTAGTCATTTGACGTATCATTGAAAAAAGTGAATTTTTACAATTATAATCAAATTTTATAATACGCCCAATTAAGTAAATCTTTTTAACAATTTAGTTTTGATTGGTTCTTATAGTTAAAGCAAATCATTAAAATTAA